ATAATATGTGTAATATGTGTGTATGTATATGTTACAAAATAAAATGACATCTTAGGACTTTGAGTTAATAAGAGAAACCTCAAAAGCAATATTTAAAATTTGTTATAAAAATTCTCTTTTGTAATGGAAGTGTTTTATTTATAAAACTTTCAGATTTTACATATATATCATAAATCATTAATTATTTAAATGTAATGGAAAACTGATATCCTCCAAAATAAACATAGGTGATCAACAGCTTACAAATTTCATATGCCCTAGCATCATTTTTATATAATATTTTTCAAGTGCATAGTAAAAGTCATTTGAAATTACAAAACAATTAGTAAATTAACAGAATTTAGTAATTTAATTTCGATTAAATAATTCCAGAAGAATTAAAAATGTAATTGTTTTTGAAAAATAAAACCTCCCATTTCATTAACTGTATAACTACACATAGACCTCTTACTTTTTTAAAAATTACTGATCCACTTTTTCAAACTCTACTGTGATATTACTTAGTAAGTGGATGAATCTGCCTTAGTCTTTATCTTTTTGGAGTGAAAGAGCTTTTAAATTATTTCTTTAACCGATGATTCCCTCTTCCCCCTATTCTACCCCCCACTCAACCTTCCTGTTTCCCCATGACCTCCTCTCTCTTCCTCTTCTCCCCCTCTCTTCTTCCCAGCTCCCACTCCCCCCCACCCCTAGCCGTGTTCCCCATATGTTCAGAAGATCTTGCCTCATTCCTCTTCTCTGGGGTACCATGCATATCTCTTAGGTTCTTTCCTGCTTCTCAGACTCTCTGTCAGTAGAATTGCAGACTGGCACTATTCTGATCCATGTCTAAATCCATATATGAGCGAGTACATACCATGTTTGTCTTTTTGTGACTGGGTTACCTCACTCAGGATGGTTTCTTCTAGTGCCATCCATTTACCTGCGAATTTCAAGATTCCATTGTTTTTTTTTCTGCTGAGTAATACTCCATTGTGTAAATGTACCACATTTTCTCTATCCACTCTTCAGTTGAGGGGCATCTAGGCTGCTTCCAGGTTATGGCTATTACAAATAATGCTGCAAAAAACATAGTGGAGCAGATGCCCTTGTTGTATGAATTTGCATCTTTTGAATATATGCCTAAGTGTGGAATTGCTGGGTCTTGTGGTAGATTGATTCCCATTTTCCTGAGGAATCTCCATACTGATTTCCAAAGTGACTGTACAAGTTGGCACTCCCAGCAGCAGTGGAGGAGTATTCCCCTCTCTCCATATCCTCTCCAGCATAAATTGTCTTCGGTGTTTTTGATTTTAGCCATTCTGACAGGAGGAAGACGGGTCAGGCACCAGTGTGACCTCTAGTGATCTAAAGGGATGACACCAACTGGCAAGCTAAGCAATAGTGGAGAGACCACCTTAAATGCCCATTTTCCTGATAATGAACTTGATGTCTATAACCATCCTGGAGCCTTCATCCAATGACTGATGGAAACAGAGGCAAACACCCACAGTTAAACACTGAACTGAACCCATGGAACCCAGTGACAGAGAGAGAGGAGCGATGAGCAAATTGTCAAAGAATGAGCTGGCAAAACCAGCAGAGACAGCTGATCTGAACAGGGGAGAGCTCTTGGACCCCAGACCGACAGCTGGGAGGCCAGCATGGGACTGATCCAGACCCCCTGAGTGTGAGAGTCAGTGAGGAGGCCTGGGAAACCTATGGGGCCCTGGGCAGTGGATCAGTGTTTATCCCTGGCATACAAACAGACATCGTGTGTTTATAATACAAAGAGGGATGCTCTCTCAGCCTGGACTCTTAGGGTAGTGCCTGGGCCCTGCCCTAAGTGAAATGACAGACTCTAGGTATCCCCTATGTGGAAGGAAATGGCAATAGGGTGGGTGTCTAGGGGAGATGGTGGGGGGTGTGGGAGGAGGGGAGGGAGAGGGAACTGGGATTGACATGTGAAACAAGCTATTTAAAATTAACATAATAAAATAAAAAATTATTTCTTTAAATTTTGAGACCATTATGATGTGATCTCCCTCTTTTCTCCTCCAAATCCTCCCATAAACCACTCCTTGCTCTCTTTCAAACTTATTGCTTCTGGTTTTCATTAATAATTGCATAAAGTCATATATATATCCCTAAATATATAAGTACAACCACTTTGGTCTGTATGCTACTTGCATTGGATAACAAATCAGTGCATTCTTTGTGTAAGAATATTTCTCTGGCTCTCCATACTCCTTAGTTACTTCAGTTTTATAGATTTGAGACCTCTTAGGCATTTCCCTATCCATGTTAGCATGTCTGTTGTATGTTTAGGAAGTCACATAGATGTGATGTCATGGTAGCTTTTTATAACATAAGGAAATCTATGCCTAATACTAGAAACCTAGGCAACTACCCAGAGCTATGAAGTCATGGACCTTGGAGGGTGATAGAATTTTGTTGAAAGTTACTTCCAGAAGTAAAAATTGTCTAGAACACATGTTAGTATACAGATAAACTGACAACACGAATATGATTAACTTGCTACAATTTTTCATACTAGTAAAGATAAATGCTATAATTTATGAAATTTCAAGAAATTGTTTTTAATCCTAATAAAATCATGCATATTCTGTTTATTTTATATTATACTCAGAAAAAGAAATGCAATGATAAACAAGAAGGAAATTTACAAAACAAACTTTTCTTTTCCCTTTGGTTATCATAATTTCTCAGACACTGTGATTTATTGTCAATCATGTTAATTACATAAAGACATGAGTAACAAATTATCCACAAATGTGTTGCATCAAACACTCAAATCTGATTGACAGTGTGCAAGACCTCCATATCACAAAACTTACTGAGTAAAACACCCACAGCATTACTTTCATACTGCATGAATTATCTGAACATTTATCCCCTAAGTATGGACTAGAATATAAATGATGTAAGTGGCCTTGGTTACTTCTCTGATGTTTAATGGAGAGGAAAGAGAAAAAAATGGGAATTAGGCTAACATTCAGTGTCTTTTACTATTTACACCACATGCCATTCTCAGTTAAGCAAATTTTCTATTTCTTTACATCTTACTGGATTCTAAATGTTTAAGCATTCTTTTTTATTGTGTTTTTATTATAACATTTCTTCCCTCTCTTTTCTTCATCCAAATTCTCCCCTATACTCCCACTCCACTCTCCTTAAGTATTTATGACCCCCTTTTGCATCAGCTGTTACTGAATGTAAATATAAATTTGTATATACATACGTTCCCAAATATAATCTATTCATTCCATATGTTACTTGTATGCATGTTTTCAGAGCTATTTTTTTTGGTACTGAAAAACAAATTGATATGACCTTCCTTGGAGCCTGTGGAGGGCCACCTCTCCCTCTCCTAGTTTCCTCAATTACATGTAATTCTTTGCGAAGGGTTGGGATCTGGTTGGCTTTTCCCCATGTAGTTAGGCATGTCCATTGTTGTCATACTTGTTCACATTTGGATAGTCATGTTGCTAGACCCATAAAGTGTTACCAACATGACCATATATGCGTGAGTTTTAGTGTTTACAGGCATGTTTGTGCTATAATAGGACTAATTCACTCACTAATAGTATTATAATATTTATAATATGATAATATAAATTTATAAAGTACAATCTGTAATTATATTGTAAGGGTATTTAAAATAAAGAAAAGGAGACATTTATATGTTTGTTATTCTTATGCCTTAAGCACTTTTTACTTTGCCTCATGGTTTTCTGTTTTATATCTTTCCTCTTAATACAATAATATGTAGGAAAATCCTTAAATACTGCTATCATAAGTTCAGATACAGTTGAAAATAAGCCCATTAAGTAAAACATAAAAAATTCTTATTGCTGCTGATATCAAATTATTTTGTCACCACTCATTTCCATGATAATATAGCTGACCATAATTATTAATAATTAACAGTCACCAGACATGTTTTTTCTACAATAAGAGGAAAACAAGTTTTTAAAACTGTTGTGAAAGGCTTCAATCCAATTTCTTATCAAGATTGAATAAAATCCAAGAATAAATAATACTGTACCAGAAAAGTCATATAAGGTAAGATATAAAAAAGATAAAAGTAAATCATTCTTGCTGTCATTCAATTACCTGTTGGAACATTGAGTTTCCATTGACATCCAGTTAAATTGTTACACTTAATATGTTAGTTTAGCTTTAAGACACAAAATGCATGTAAGTGGGGAAAGGGAAGGATTAAATGAGGAATTCTTTCTGCATATTGCCGTGAATATATTAAAAATAAGGCTTGTTTTCTTTCTATAATTTCTGTGATTGTTTTTTTTTTGCATTGGAGGTTATTTCTATTCCTATAAGTAAGGCTGCTCTCTTTGGTTGAAATAAAAATATACTTATTTGAATACTAATTACAGAGTATTCATAGAGCCAGGTATAAATTCACATTAGGTCAGAAAACTCGAGAATATTCCATTGTAGACTATTCGGCTAGTGGAATCACTTTATAGTGACACACATTTTGAGTATTTACCTGAAAGTTCAAAGTGGTAAAGCACACATGACTGCTCATTTTAGAAAAGTTTCAATACCATGAAAACTTCAATTTGTAGAGGAATATCAAGTCAGTAACATTAACAAAGCATATTAACAGCCAAATGCTATCTCCGCATCATTGAGCATGTTATTTCTTTACATTTCAAGGAAAATCAAAATTTGTATCCTGTCTTCACACTTCAAGTTTGCTTAATGTAGTGGAGATACTTTTCTTTTTTTAATAACTTTGATACCATAATACTTTGATACCAGTCATAAGTGACACTAAAAATAAAATATACCATTTGACTCATATTCTACTTTAGTAATGCTACTTTATACTTATCTTGCTGACCTAATTACATCGTATAATTAAGATAACATAAATAAGTAAATTGGCTCTCAGTTATTCTATTCTGAACAAGATCCTTCTGTACAGCTCACTGGCTGGGCTTCTGAGGCTATAACAAAGAAGCATACTGTACCTCTTCTGCTGCTGCTTGACGCAGATGTGCTTGGGCTGGTTGTTATGGCTACAGTGGTTGTTACTGGTGCAGTGGTAAGGGAGGGGATGATAGTAGTGGGAAGCAAAGTGGTAGGAACATCTGGTGAGTGGAAAGAAACAAAATATAAAATAAAATCATATCATGCAAACAAAAGAAAAACACAAATGATTCAAGTGATAAATGCACACATCTTATTTAGACTTAATTTATAAGTTGAAACAGAATAACAGGTACAAAACAACCATAACACACAGGTTCCGTCATTTTTCTTTCACTTTTCTCTTGTGCTCCATAAAAAGAAGGTTCTGGGAGCTATTCTTGAGATAAGTAAATCATTTGCAATATTTAAAGTGAAATTTAAAATGACAAGAATTCACTTGTTCTTTGAGTCATTTGAAAATCTCACATGCAGTAGCAAAATACACATATGTAAAATTAAAGTGACATGCTTTGTCAAGGGAATAAACAAAGAAACAGCACATACAGAAATAAACACAAATGCCACCATATACGATTAAAGAAGTGTTAACGATGAGTATGTTATGCATGTTAAATAATGCCTTTCTTTTTCCTTACAGGAAAAATGATAGGAAATGGGATGAGAGCCCTCTTTAGCAACAAACAAAAGAAGCCAATTGTTATTATAATTGTTACTTTGCTTCTCCTGTTTTCACAGACAATGTTAATGCACAGTTTAAAGTCTGGCAAGTCTTACCCAATTAGCTGGTAACGCCTTCTAACAAATTTGCAGTACCTAGGAGTCTTTTACAAGTATTGAGTCATCTAGCATGGAACGCGATGTGATGTTCGGACAAGCTTATGACTTATTTGAATCCAGGACACAAAGAGAAGTTACTGAATAAGGGTCTGAACTATACCAGTCAGTCTCCAATCCATAATTAGTCGAGTTGTCATAAGTTAAAATTTGGTTCAAATCCGGGTGTAACAATGAACAGAAAGAACATTTTAGTGTGCCGTGCCCAGGTCTTCCTTCATTTCATTAGACCAGTCTCAAGTATCTAGAGTAGGAAAGAGAGGCCTCAAGCAATTCTGCCAGTGTCAAGCTATGAAAAACCTTGGGAAAATCCTTAGAATTTTTTTCCCAGCAGATAGGCATATAATTTACACAGCAAGGAAATTAGAAACACTTCCTCAATTACCCGTAATTGCTGTACTGGGGTTTGATTTTGTATGTTTGTCATGAAACCCCAATATAGTCACAATGCTTGACACATGATTTCGTTGTTGAAAGATTTCTTGTCATTCTTTCTAGGAAAAGTCTTTGAGTCACTCCAAACATTTTTCAAGTTCTTTACTCTGGTAAATAGCTCTACTCGATCTGCCTGACTCTACCCGCTGAATCCTGCACACTGGAGACACCAAAACCAGCATGAGACCACTCTCTTATCTTGAGTATTGATGTTTACACCTGTTTTTCAACAGGGAAAATGCTTCCTGGCCAGTAAAATTAAGAAAACAACCTCCAAAAACTCAATGGTATTACATTAATCACTAGGGAAAATGGGCATTGCCTGGAGAGCAATTTATCATGATCCTAAGGTGGCATTGGTTTTACAAAGAGCATTGTGAACAAATAAGAACTATGTTTTTATGCCCATGGCATACTATTTGTTGCTTTTTATCATCCATTCTTATTGCTTAATAAGATTTTAAACAGAATAGAAGGTAAATGAAAACATACTCAATAAAAAATAGTAATTTCTTTTGTCTACCTAAAATAGAAAATAGTAATTTTTATTAGAAATATTATTGTCTCATTTGGAGTCTCAAATGTGTTTAGGCAAAACCAACATCTAGAATATATTTAAAAGTTCATATATAGAGTCTAATTAAGTTTATCACAGATTATAAAATTAGTTTTTGTTTTCAAATAGTAAAGTAAAATAACATCCTCTTAACCTTTATGTGAGAAACAAAACAGCCTTTCAAATTACCTTTATTAATTAATTACGATAGCTGGCTAAAGATAAATGGCTTATATTCATTTGTTTAGTCTGGTTTACTCTAAACAAATTATTAATTGGATTTATTTATACCTTTACCCATCTCAGCAATGATAGAAATTTTGTGTTATTTGGGAGCTTACATATGTTCATGGTTTCTAAGCATTCTTAAATGAACCCATCCCATCTTATAAGTGTCCAATTCAATAAATGTAGATTCTTTTATCATTTTCTAGTATTTAATGAATTAGTAATTTCATTACTTACTAATAAAATTTAAAACATTGATAAAGCACTATGAAATATGTAGATAGATGAGAAAGTAGACACTATCTAACATCTAGGCTGGCTCCCAAGTATTTTCCACATTACCTAGAAGATTCATGTATTATTGATAACAATTTAAGGACAACTGTGTAAAAATGCATGCCAAAAAGAAATCTTTCTCAATCAGCATTACATGTTTTTATTACTACTCAAATGCTATGTAGCTTTTAAAATATGTTAATTTTCCATGAGTTTTCATCCTGGACTTTTACAATTCATTCAAGTTTGTTTTAAATTATTTCAACTCAGTGGTGAATAGTAAAGTTAAAATAACCCAAAATATTCATTTCTAGAAAACAATTAGAAACGTGTAAAACTCAACAATGTAAGAGAAGCTAGAATTAGTTAGAAATGTCAGAAAGATTACAAGAAATTACATGAAACTTCTGCCTCATACTTAAACTTTCTATTTGATCTGATTTTGTTCAGGCCTTTCTGCATTTGATAATTAACCCTGGAAAGAAGAACTTTTAGTTAGTGCACAGGTTTCTGCTTCGTATAAATATATGACTATATAAAAGAACCAAAAAAAAAAGCCCTTATGTGACAGGAAGAACTGAATGTAATAGAATTAAAGGGGGAAACTAATTTTCTCATAAACACTCTCTATATCTTAAGACAGGAAAAATATACTGTTAGTTTTTGAAGAATGTTTTTTAGAACCACGATGTACTTTTTTATTTTCAGTTAAAAAGAAAACAATAAGTGCAATATCAGAAACAAACAATTACTAATTTATAAGTAACTTATTAATGTAGATTATACATATATGAATTACATGACTTACAGACAGCAATTTAATGGGACATGCACTGATTTGAGAGCTGTCCTACTGACAACTCAAGATCCTTAAGCCTGGGTGGCTTGAATAGGACCTGGAAAATCAGATATTAACAAATGACTCTGAGAATTCTTCCTAAGTCAAAATATCCTTTCCCAGTTTTTATAAAATTCAAACTTACTTTTGGAAAGTCTTCTATAAATGAGAAGCAATATTTAAGAAAACTTAGCAAGTATCTCAGTAATGAATGTTTAAGTTGTTAATTTTGGCCTTTTGGGCTTACATTTTCTTATGGAAATATGAGATATAAAGCTACTATATATCTGCCTTATATTTTTTAAGATAAGTTCTTACTATGAAGCCCTGGCAGCCTAAACCTCCCTCTGGAGACCAGTCTGTCTCTGGTGTCAACATGCATGGACCTCATATTTTTGATGTATCTATAATCAAAGAGAATTTAAAAACCATTATACCAATAATACAAGAACTAATGAGATAAAGCAACATGATATAAAGCACAGCCATGTTTCCCTTTTAGTATTTATCTGTTAATTTTTTCAAAGAAGAAAACATTGTTATTTATATTCAAGTTACTCACATGCACATATGGCAAAATGCTCAATATTTGTTCATCTGTAATTAATTAATGTCCTATATTTGAACTTAATCACAATATTTGTGTGAAACAAAAACTATGGAACCACATGGCTCATCAAGTGAAGATGCCTGATTTCAACACCAAGGATCTGAGTTCAATACCCGGGACACACATGGTAAAAGGAAAGGAACAACTCTGGTAAATGATTTTCTGACCTCTGCATATGTGTGGTGGTATAGCTACACACAACATATAAGCATAATAGTAATTTCATCGTAATTATATTTTGTCCAGACCTAATCATTAAAATTAGAAATTTTACAGAAATTATTGAGACCCTCTTTTCATTCAAACAAGAGCCTTCTCACTTATGGTCTTAATAAACAAGACATTAATACAAGCTTATGAATGAATTTATTTGAATGCCTCATTAGTTAATGGCAATTTTTAAAGTTGTTAGTTTTGATTATAACACCAATTTCTCTGAAAACATAATTGAGTTTTTAAATTTCTTTTCCTAAAAGACTGCCATTGTGTGCAAAATACTATATATACTCATGGTCTAAAGTGAATAAAATTTGCTTGACAAATTTAGATGACTTGTTAAATAAACTCATTGAATTCTATGAATTCATTAGAATTTAAATACAGTCATAAGTCATTAAATACAAACCCAATTTACTGAATAAAAGTATGCATGTATTTCAGCACTATACAATATGTGTTATATACTTTGTACATAAATACTTAAATTTTAAACAATCAAGTAAGAGTTTCTTTAATTACAAACACATATATTACAGTAAGTGCAGAGGTTCCCTTTAAAGGAAAATTGTAACATTTTTATTGACAGGAAACTGAGAAAAAGGTTTAAGTCATACAAGTTGGTTTGTGAATTTGTGTTCAGGTAAGGTATCCATTGTAAGTAACTTTAAATAATCATATTGCAGAAAAAGTTTCCTTCTCTGTACCTGCAAATGCTTTGTTTACCACACGTTACAATCGCTTTGTATGCTACCTCACACAATAAACACCCGGGTTAGCATTACATAAAAACGTGTCTTCATTAGATACAAATACTGTTTTTCCTGGGACACATACACTTGACCCAATTTGGGTTAGCTGTACTGATGAACAGTATCAAGAAATATAATTGAGTATTTAGAAAAATTTTACATTCATGTGTAGAGAGTATGTAGCATTTACCTGGCATTTACCATTTAATACAATTTTTATATATTTATATTAAGTATATATTGAATATTACATCTATTTTATATATAATATGTTTTATATAATATATACATATATATCAATGAAACAAAAAGTCTAAGAAAACAATCTACTTAATACTGTGCTTTCTTAGTTCCTTCCTAGTTATGTATGCCTTAGGGGCTTTGAAAACACTCCTATGGATGATAAAAATGTC